AACAGTTGCGCAGCTGAGATGATGTCAGTCGAAAAGCAAAGCCATTTAGAAGAGAAGCAGGTTATTAATTTTTGATGAACTGTGCACGATAAGACCAGGAATGTGTATTAAAGTTACTTGGGTCAATTTTGATTATATGTTGACTTGAAAGAACCAGATCCTCCACATCCACAACAAATATAACTAAATCCAATTCAAGCAAAGCATCTAGGGAATTAATTCATTGTTACAATCTTCCCTTTAAAACCGCAATGATTAATCTCTCCAAGAACGTGACTGCAAAGCCTTGGAAGATATATAGTGTAGTTAAATCTTATATCCATTTTTGATAACTGGATGAAACCACTACTTCAGACATCAAAGATTCAATTCAGGAGTTCTGAAAATGAGATTTCAGGCTTGTGTGGTCCAGCATGTTGTTTAAAATCAAATCTTTGGATTTCAGGGCAGAAACTCTACATTCAAGTCTTGCTCAGTAACAAGGGAGGTATAGAGAACTCTGGGTACCTTTAACTGGCAATTCAAGCTTGTTCAATTTTTCAGGTATATGGTTTTGCTCTGAAAATGTGTCAGACTGTTTGCGGTGGCAGGTGCTTTGGAAAAAGCCTGATCCACATTTCTGTGTTCTGAAGTGAAAATGAGACCTGCTTCAGTCTTGTTATGACACTTCAAATGTTCTCTAAAGCATTCTGGATTTACAGACTACGCAGTGAGAGCCTGTCGCTGACAAAACCACCCTTAAAAATAACTCACCAATATCTCACAAAATGAAAAGTCTGTCATCATTTCCTCATGCATGTTGTTCCAAACCCATGTCTTTGTTTGTCCTTTCTTGGAGCTTGACGGTTCCTAGTCACTATATGGATTCATTGCATGGAAAAGAGCAGCGTGAACATTATTCAAAACATTTGCTTTTGTGTTCTACAAAAGAATTCAGGGTTTGGACTGACATGAGGGTGAGTAAATGACAGAATTTTTTTCAGAAAATGAGGAGTGGATAAAAAGAAACAGAAATATAAGAATGACAATGTGCACAGTGGTCAACATACAGTAGAATGGACAGTATCTCTGGGTCTCTTGTTAGATATTAGAGGACACTGCGTCCCCCATTTATAATAGTGTCTCACGTCTCATTTCTGGAGAGGTTCAATGTCAGCACTAACAACTTCTAATGTCACCCTGTCTCTCCCCTGTGTGTGTGTGTGTGGCAGGAGTAACCTGTCATGGCACCCTAAGCTGTAATAGATCTGCTGCATAATTCATGAGGCAGTTCTGTGATTATGAGCATTACTGTCATTACTCAGCAAGCAGCCAATCACGTGACTGAATGTGACGGCAACGAGGACACATCCTCACCTTTCGCTGGAGTGACTGTTTTTTTTTCTCTCATACAGAAACTCAATTCTGCAGTAATAATATTCTGTGAAATGTAAACTCCAAAATCTAGTAAGATTCCTGGCTGTCTACTGCCTACATAGGCAGCTGTCTTCAAAGGCAAGATCCAAACCAACTTGATAACCTGATCTCATGAGAAAATGTACAGTGGGTATAGAAAAGAATCACCCCCCTTTAAAATAATCACATTTTGCTGCTTTGCATTTGCATTGCAGTCACATTTTGTTTCGTGTTATATCCTTCACTTGAATGTTAGAAGTTACACTGAGTAAATACAGCTGGATAAAACAAAAACTGTGTCTGTCTTCATTTCAGGCTGCAAAGCAACAAAGGGGGGGGTTCTTTTCTATACCCACTGTATTTTATGAGTGTGCAATTTCATAAGTGACTGATTTGGAACACTCTACATAGGCAACAACTCCTCACGACACACATAATAGTGAGAATCAAAATAGACGCGTGACTCGCAGTACATTTCAAAATAGTTTAACAATAGCATGTTGCTAAGTTGCTAATTAGTAAAAAATCTGTCAATATTTGGGCATTTTAAGATAATCAGCATACGCCAGAAAGAAATAGCACTAATCAGGTAAATCAAGTGCCGCACCTCATAGTTAAATCCAATGTAACATTAGCATGTTGCTAAGCTAACAAATGAGAAACTAATAAGTACTGTAGTAACACAACATATATAACTGGGTAATATTTGGGCATTTTGAGATTAATGGTACAGTATGTGCCACACAAAATAGAGCTTCTCACGTTTAAACAACTGATTCCAACAGAGTGTAATGTTAGCATGGTGCTAATCTAAGATAACTGATCAAATAATCGGTCTAAATTTGGGCATTTGTGATTATTAGCACGTGGCAGACAAAATAGCACTTCTCGAGTTTATCAAACAGTTGATTCCATTAAGACTTGAACTTTAATCCAATAGAGTGTGACATTAGCATGTTGCTAAGCTAGCAACACGAATCGAATAGTAACACAATGAATAATTGGTTGATATTTGGTTTGAGCAACACAAAATAGCGCTTACTCACATTTATCAAACAATTGATTCTATTAGCACTGTGCTAAGCAAATAACCTGACAAGAGTAAAAAGATGAATTATTGGTCTATATTTGGGCATTTTGTGATTACTACAATGTGGAAGACAAAATAGCACTCATCGCATGAATCTACCGAAAAGCGTACCTGACAACTGCTAACCACATGACAATCATTAACACCTAATGGTCTGATAACCTTAAAAATCTATTTCTCTTTCCATTTTGTTTTTTTGTGAATTTAAATGACATTATCCAAAAATAAGATATTTATTTTATTTGATATAAACATGTTGTGTACCTCTTATTAGCTGTCATTAAATTGTACATTGTATATATCTAACAATACACATACAAATTCATAATACACCATCACTGAGTAAAAATCAATGACCCTGTCCACTATATTGGAGAAAATATTTCACCAATTTTCACAATGCATTTCACAAAACAAAACAAAGTTTCTTAGAAGGTAACATGATGCTGGTCACCTTTTGGAACTATCCCTTAAAATGTTTTCTAAGTAGGCAGCTCACTAGCTTTTGAAACAGAGCAGTTACATTACATATGAATAAAACTAAATTTGTATGCATGGGTTTTCAAACTATCCAATCTTTCTCTCTACCTCAATTTCGCTCTTCTTATTTCAAGCTATCAGTTTCCTTGTTTCTTTTTCCTCTTGCAAGTGTTCAATGAATCCAACATCTGCTGTGTTTTATCTAGGGTCCTCACACCTCATTCTCATTTTTTTATCGTAATCTCTGTCAGTCCATCCCTCTCTCTCTCTCATCTGTATTCTCCAGACCTCTCTCTTTCTCTCGGGTACAGATCTCACGTGTGGATCTCTGGTCTAATGGAATCACAGCTCAGTCTCTCAGCTGGACAGTAATCACTCTCTCTCTCTTTCACTCACTCGCTTGCTCTCACACATAACACAAGGGCTTCACTTGAGCAAAAGCTTCACGGAAAAAAGCGTCGGTGCAGTCCAAAGACAAAGTATATTGTGTATAATATCATCAAATGTTTCAAAACACCTCTTTGGTTCTGGACTTCAACTCTAGGTATACAGATACAAACTTCACTTCATTATAACTATAAAGACTAGCGAAGTGTTTTTCTTTTTAAGGGTATTTTCAACCACAACTGGGTGGTTTTACTAGACTTTGTGTTTTATGCACTTTCATGTGCTTTACTGCATACTAAAGTTCAGTTTGGTGAATTCTTAAAAATTCAAATTTGCTAAAAATGTTTGACCTAAACATCTCAGATTATGAAGATTGTTGATATCAAGGTGGGTTCTTTTGGGTTGGGCCAGCAAGCAAGCAACTACAGAAAAGATCGATCTTAACCAGGGGAACAGGAAAACGAAAAGTGACAAAAATGGCCCCAATATGCAAAATGTCAATGCTAAAAAATATATATTTCTTTATATTATTTCTGATAATATTCCAATTTAAGCCTAATTATTTACAATATTGCATAAAATACTGTTGATTTTTTAATAATTAGTCATTTAAATAATCAATTTAAATAACATATTTTTAAATAATACATTTAAATAAATAATTTAAGATTGAGCACTTGTTAATTAATTAATTACATCAAAGTACTAGACATAAATAATAATACACAAAAATATTTTATATGGGTAGACAAAAATATGACCACACCAAAAGGCAAATATACATCTAGAAATCAACTTCAAGGGGCAAAAAGGTCCTTTAAATGGAAAACTTCTACCACTGAATGTGAATTTTCTAGTGCTGTCAAACAATTAATCGCGATTAATCGCATCCAAAATAAAAGTTTTGGTTTACATAATATATGTGTGTATACTGTGTATATTTATTATGTGTATATAAATACAAACACATGCATGTATATATTTAAGAAAAATATGTTATGTTTACATATTAAATATATTTATATATAATATAAAATATAAAGATATAAATGTATATACATGTAAATATTTTCAAAATATATACTGTATGTGTGTGTATTTATATATACATAATAAATATACACAGTACACATACATATATTACGTAAACAAAAACTTTTATTTTGGATGCGATTAATCGCGATTAATCGTTTGACAGCACTAGAATTTTCACATGCAAAATCCAATCATTTCGATAGGAATCAACATGACCAGGAATTTTGCGTAAAGTTTAATTATTTCGCAACTGCTTCAAGTTGGTCTCTCCAAAATTTGCAGTGTTGACCAACAGACAGCTGTTTGATTTGAAAGAGAGTAGTGCTTTTCACGTTATTGACGATTAATCTTTTTTGTATTGAAAAATATGCCAAAATTACCTTAAGGTGACCGCACCTTAACACTGCTAGAAAGCAAACAGCCTTGCAACCAACCCAATACCAATGCTTTGACATCCACCCTAGCATCGCTGCAGGGTCCAAAACAATTTCATATACGTAAAACCATCAGCCAGGACTTAATCAATAAGAAGTCAGTGGCCAGGCCGAGAGGACCAAGCCAGTAAAAGCAGCAGTGTTGAAGGTTAAGGAAATCAGGGTGAAGAGTTACTCACAGGGTACCGTACGAAGATAGAGGTTGTCCCGAATTATTTGTTGCAGCTCATGGTCCAAAGAGCCCTTCTGGAAACGCAGGTTGAGATACTGCCTGAGATCTTTATCCACAACACCTCCTGTAACACACATACAGACGGTTAGATGGCCCTCTACCACGATACAATCTCATCTGATAACAGGCTTCTTGGCGTTTACTTTACATTCACAATAAACTCTGTGAAGAAATGCCTTTTGTGTGCAGTTTTTCAGTAGTAGTAAAGAATGTGTGTGCAGCCATTCTATTTTCTGAGGAAAAGGCCTGACAATACTGCAGGCAAACCATGATTTAGTCACTCGATACAAAAACCTGACCTCAAAGCGATCGCCTGTAGAGCTGCGAGAATATGTCTGTGATAGTTTCCACTTTGTTCCATGGTCAAAAAGCTTTTTCAAGCTCCTAAGAGGGTCCTACCTTCCTGTTTAGCTTGTTTCTCATCGATATAAGCACACAATGCCGCTCATACACACACACCATCATATTTTTCCTAGTACATCCAAAGAGCCCTTCTGGAAACGCAGGTTGAGATACTGCCTGAGATCTTTATCCACAACACCTCCTGTAACACACATACAGACGGTTAGATGGCCCTCTACCACGATACAATCTCATCTGATAACAGGCTTCTTGGCGTTTACTTTACATTCACAATAAACTCTGTGAAGAAATGCCTTTTGTGTGCAGTTTTTCAGTAGTAGTAAAGAATGTGTGTGCAGCCATTCTATTTTCTGAGGAAAAGGCCTGACAATACTGCAGGCAAACCATGATTTAGTCACTCGATACAAAAACCTGACCTCAAAGCGATCGCCTGTAGAGCTGCGAGAATATGTCTGTGATAGTTTCCACTTTGTTCCATGGTCAAAAAGCTTTTTCAAGCTCCTAAGAGGGTCCTACCTTCCTGTTTAGCTTGTTTCTAATCGATATAAGCACACAATGCCGCTCATACACACACACTGGCCAAATGCACATCATATTTTTCATGGTACATAGAAATGTCTTCTGAACACATAAGAGTGCAGGGATCCCCATGGGGCGTCCCAGTGATAAATACACACGCACACACGTCGTCATCATTATTACATCCCGTGATGAAATGGGGAGGGGGTTCTCTTCAAAAAATGTGCTTTATCAGCAGACAGATGGATAGAGAGTGAGAATGAGAGAGGGGGTGAAGCGAAAAACAGAAAGAGAGAGGCACATGTGAGTATATGGAAAAAAAGCAAGTGAGAACATACAGCACTTCTAATAATGTCTAAATCCTTCCAACAAACAATTTAAAGTAAATTTGACAGTAAAGCTTAAATCCTTAAAGGGCCAGTTCATCCAAAAAATAACGTTTTAAGAGTTATATTCGAACTTGGTGCATCACAATTAGCTACAAGGTTAGTGAGAACAGTGATGTTTGGTGGCATTGCTTTTACTTGGTGTGATACATCTTCATGTGTCAAATTTGAATATGTGCATCAACAAATAAGATTTGAGATCTATGATGGAGAGTACAATTCAGAAAATAATGACTTTTTTCAGAGAATTTTGGCCTGTTTCTCACACAAAGTGATCATATGTTATCAGAAGACTTGGAATACAGTGCACAAGTCATATGGACTTCTTTTAAATGTTTTAATGTCATTTTTTGTCCTTTTGTAGCTTGATATCTCCAGTCCCCATCCACTTTCATTGACAATCCCAGTCCTCATTCCCTTGAAAGATGACCACGGCTATCAAACAAGATTTGCTGGTAATAGTGGCTTAAATTACACAAAGCTATCATATGGCTTTTATAAGACATATAAGTCATACAGACTACTTATATAAAGTTTTTTTTAAAAATAATTTTGGGAAGCTCAAAATCTCCAGTCCCCATCCACTTTCACTGTATTGAAAAGGGCAGCATGAACATATTTCAAAATTTCTCCTCCTGAACATCGAATGTTCATTTTTGGGAGAACTATTCCCTAACCCATAATTTAAACACACACAGTCTGGCTGAAATGCAAGACATAATCGGCGCAGTCATATGTCGTCAAAAAGCATAAGGACAGTGCCTAAAAATATGTCACACTAAGAAACTATGCTCATGTGGGTTTGAGAAACCGGTTTTCCATGCTTAAAATGTGCACCCAACAAACACACAAATCACCCATCGATTCATGTATGCACTCATGTACACACCGGTGGATTTTAAAACTCTATGTAGAACAAGCCCGATGCGTCTAGAATAACCTACTTCAGACATGCCGGTTAACCAGACATGACAATCATGCTATTTACACACACACAATCAGTTAAAGAAAACCTCTGGTTTACAATCAAATCACGCATAAAAATCCAACACACACATCATTGGCACACAGCTCTGTCTGAATGACACAGGACATGAAATTAACACCAAATGACACACAAATTGATGAGTCTCACACACTCAGCTCCTTGGAGAGAAATAAATCAAGACTGCAGACCCTGAAGCCTCATTCAAATCCATAGCACACACACAATTCATAAGTCAACTCACAGAGCACAATGGAACGGAGCTTCTCTTGCACGGCTCAGCCAGATGTTGCAGGCGATGATTTGAGCATGTCTGTGATTGCATGAGTGTGTGTGTGTGTGTGTGTGTGCAGTCTAGGTCTCCACAGGTCTACGGCCACAGTGTGCAGGTTTCCTAGCAGTGTTAGATGGGTTCAGTGCTACAGACTGTCTCTCTGCACGCTGCTGTAACAGAGAGTGTCGCTCTGCAGTGACCGAGAGAGAGAGAGATAGACAGAGAGAGAAAGAGAGGTTGAGCACCGGGACGCTGCAGAAGAAACGTGCCTAACAGTGGGAACCTATCACAAAGCTCTCTCTCCTTGTATAGGAGATGGAGGAGGGGAAGAGATTCATCGCCCTCTATGGGTGGACTGGAGACGCGAAGCAGAGACTACCAAATCTCAAATTTTATATCCATTTTTCATACCAGCATAAATTATGATGTTGTGATGCCTAAATTCACTTTTATCATTCAAAATGATTTCTTTCATTTTTTTCGTGTTTCATTTTTTATGCATTTACAAAATGAAGACTAGATTTTGAAGATCCAAGCCAGCTGTAGAGAAGCCACATACATACACATTCTCTTTTCTGCCACATACAAACCAAGTGACAATATTTTGGAATACCTTGAGCCTTAGATTGTCTGGAAGGGCAAATGTCCCTCCTAGGCTAAAATTAAAAGGATACCCATATACCTTGTATCTATTCTGCAGCCCTTTCCTGAGTGGTTGGCCAAACTCTAAACACTTCAAAAACACACAGACTTGACATGAGATCTCCAGTAATATTTCTATATTTACATATACATTCGCAAATGACTTTTTTCCTATTAAAGTCGCACAGCAGGGCATATTTTGTTTGCCAGTTACTTGATCAGGAAGATAATGTGTCAGCTACTTACATAGTAGACCTGAAGATCCATCACAACTCTGAGCTTTCAGTTTGGCTTTTTAAACTAATGATGTTCGAGCTGCAATTGTTGACTTAAACTGGCTCTTTTTTAAAGATTTGATTGAACTGATTACACATTCTATGTAACATAGAACTACAACAATAAACGGTATCATTTATTTCATTACAAAAAATTCTGTAAAATGCTGTGTAGGGAATTGTGGGTACACTTTCAAGTCATGTCTTAAATAGGTGACTCTTTAAAACAGAAACTAACTTTTTTGGTCTGATATTTCCTCTACTGTAGACAAGAACTTCACTTCACGTCAGCAGTTCAACTTAGTTTGCCAAGTTTCAATACATTTCATATTCATAACCAACCCACACAAAATGAGTAAGTGAAGTGTTCAGGGTGCCATTGCCCTTGAGTGAGTACAGAGCACATGATGAAGAACAGGTGCCATCAGAACCCCCAGAGAGAGGGAACAGACTGTATTGAATTCTCATAACATCCCACAGCGGCTGACTTCCAGGCCCTCAGGAACATCGTTTTTGAGGAAAGAGCAGTTGTATATGCAATAAATAGACAGACATCTGTGTCACCTGCCTCATGGCAAGTAAAAATTAAAGGTGAAATATATTTCAAATGTTTAAATATGAATATATAGTATACACATAATATGCATTAACACTTACACTAAAATATAATGTAGAACAGTTTTTTGTAAGTCATTATATTTTATAATGGTTAACAAGGTTATAGGTCCCTCTGTAATGGTTCTTTTGGTTTCTCCCAACTTCACAGACTAATTATATCAACACCTGTGACTCATTTTGTATCCGACACACTCTGAGGAATGCTGAAGGCCGAATGCATCAATGTGCAGTGTTTTAGGCATTTTTAATGTTTCTATTGTGATGGCCATAGTGTGAATAAAAGTTTTTTTTTTGGACCAAAAGAAGTGCCTAAGATTCCTTTCTATAGTAAAAAATATCCCTTCATTCCATCACACTTGGTTAGGCCTTTGCGTTAACACTGAACAGGCTGTTTTTGATACTGTACCTTTAAGACTTATACAGAGTTCTGGCATAAAACTCTAGATGGCACAGTTCGATAGGTCTAACTCAATCTGACCTAATGACATCATTATCACATGGCACAGCTGACTGGTTCTCTCCTGTATCGGTAGCCAATAAACTCGCTGCTCAGCATTCAAATATATGACTAGTGCTTGCCGTAGCAGTTGCAGCTTGCTTCAGAAACCCTCCACCTTCCCCAGCTCCACCTGTATAGATCTGCTACGAGGTGATTCATGTATGGGGGGTATTTCATGGATGTTGTATGTTATATTTGCAGCAGCAATAGTTCTTACATGCTCACAGCAGCATGTTGTGGATGTATTGGCAGTAGCAAGTCTCGTGTACTTGCTCTGCCGCAGCAGCAGCAGCAGCGTAGCAGATCTATTCCACCAAGACCAAATACATTAACATTGTCATGTACATTACCATGCCAATCCCTCTGAGAGTTGTCATGACAGAACTATATTTAAATGACATTGGTTATGACTGGTTGAGCTAAAAAATAAGTGACAACATCAACACCAACACCAAATTATTAAATACAGAACTGCGTTGACATGTAAACAAAAACTATGTAAATGTGTTTATGGCTCTGAATGACCTCACAAAAAAAAAAAGAGTATGGACTTTTTTTCCCATAATACCAACCATTTAATTAACTAATATAAACCAGCTTATGGAGTATGGACTTTTTTCCCCATAATACCAACCATTTAATTAACTAATATAAACCAGCTTATGCAGACCTAGTTATACATTTGGTTGGCGGTGGGCACCCAGAAAAACCTACATGACACATGTGTGACCACTCTCACATACACAAATACTAAAACAAACAAGTAAGCAACATCTGGTGAGTTAACGTTTCACCCTCAT